CTTGCGTTTGGAGGGATGCAAACTGGGAGGATGTGGCTTGCGTTTGGAGGGATGCAAACTGGGAGGATGTGGCTTGCGTTTGGAGGGATGCAAACTGGGAGGATGTGGCTTGCGTTTGGAGGGATGCAAACTGGGAGGATGTGGCTTGCGTTTGGAGGGATGCAAACTGGGAGGATGTGGCTTGCGTTTGGAGGGATGCAAACTGGGAGGATGTGGCTTGCGTTTGGAGGGATGCAAACTGGGAGGATGTGGCTTGCGTTTGGAGGGATGCAAACTGGGAGGATGTGGCTTGCGTTTGGAGGGATGCAAACTGGGAGGATGTGGCTTGCGTTTGGAGGGATGCAAACTGGGAGGATGTGGCTTGCGTTTGGAGGGATGCAAACTGGGAGGATGTGGCTTGCGTTTGGAGGGATGCAAACTGGGAGGATGTGGCTTGCGTTTGGAGGGATGCAAACTGGGAGGATGTGGCTTGCGTTTGGAGGGATGCAAACTGGGAGGATGTGGCTTGCGTTTGGAGGGATGCAAACTGGGAGGATGTGGCTTGCGTTTGGAGGGATGCAAACTGGGAGGATGTGGCTTGCGTTTGGAGGGATGCAAACTGGGAGGATGTGGCTTGCGTTTGGAGGGATGCAAACTGGGAGGATGTGGCTTGCGTTTGGAGGGATGCAAACTGGGAGGATGTGGCTTGCGTTTGGAGGGATGCAAACTGGGAGGATGTGGCTTGCGTTTGGAGGGATGCAAACTGGGAGGATGTGGCTTGCGTTTGGAGGGATGCAAACTGGGAGGATGTGGCTTGCGTTTGGAGGGATGCAAACTGGGAGGATGTGGCTTGCGTTTGGAGGGATGCAAACTGGGAGGATGTGGCTTGCGTTTGGAGGGATGCAAACTGGGAGGATGTGGCTTGCGTTTGGAGGGATGCAAACTGGGAGGATGTGGCTTGCGTTTGGAGGGATGCAAACTGGGAGGATGTGGCTTGCGTTTGGAGGGATGCAAACTGGGAGGATGTGGCTTGCGTTTGGAGGGATGCAAACTGGGAGGATGTGGCTTGCGTTTGGAGGGATGCAAACTGGGAGGATGTGGCTTGCGTTTGGAGGGATGCAAACTGGGAGGATGTGGCTTGCGTTTGGAGGGATGCAAACTGGGAGGATGTGGCTTGCGTTTGGAGGGATGCAAACTGGGAGGATGTGGCTTGCGTTTGGAGGGATGCAAACTGGGAGGATGTGGCTTGCGTTTGGAGGGATGCAAACTGGGAGGATGTGGCTTGCGTTTGGAGGGATGCAAACTGGGAGGATGTGGCTTGCGTTTGGAGGGATGCAAACTGGGAGGATGTGGCTTGCGTTTGGAGGGATGCAAACTGGGAGGATGTGGCTTGCGTTTGGAGGGATGCAAACTGGGAGGATGTGGCTTGCGTTTGGAGGGATGCAAACTGGGAGGATGTGGCTTGCGTTTGGAGGGATGCAAACTGGGAGGATGTGGCTTGCGTTTGGAGGGATGCAAACTGGGAGGATGTGGCTTGCGTTTGGAGGGATGCAAACTGGGAGGATGTGGCTTGCGTTTGGAGGGATGCAAACTGGGAGGATGTGGCTTGCGTTTGGAGGGATGCAAACTGGGAGGATGTGGCTTGCGTTTGGAGGGATGCAAACTGGGAGGATGTGGCTTGCGTTTGGAGGGATGCAAACTGGGAGGATGTGGCTTGCGTTTGGAGGGATGCAAACTGGGAGGATGTGGCTTGCGTTTGGAGGGATGCAAACTGGGAGGATGTGGCTTGCGTTTGGAGGGATGCAAACTGGGAGGATGTGGCTTGCGTTTGGAGGGATGCAAACTGGGAGGATGTGGCTTGCGTTTGGAGGGATGCAAACTGGGAGGATGTGGCTTGCGTTTGGAGGGATGCAAACTGGGAGGATGTGGCTTGCGTTTGGAGGGATGCAAACTGGGAGGATGTGGCTTGCGTTTGGAGGGATGCAAACTGGGAGGATGTGGCTTGCGTTTGGAGGGATGCAAACTGGGAGGATGTGGCTTGCGTTTGGAGGGATGCAAACTGGGAGGATGTGGCTTGCGTTTGGAGGGATGCAAACTGGGAGGATGTGGCTTGCGTTTGGAGGGATGCAAACTGGGAGGATGTGGCTTGCGTTTGGAGGGATGCAAACTGGGAGGATGTGGCTTGCGTTTGGAGGGATGCAAACTGGGAGGATGTGGCTTGCGTTTGGAGGGATGCAAACTGGGAGGATGTGGCTTGCGTTTGGAGGGATGCAAACTGGGAGGATGTGGCTTGCGTTTGGAGGGATGCAAACTGGGAGGATGTGGCTTGCGTTTGGAGGGATGCAAACTGGGAGGATGTGGCTTGCGTTTGGAGGGATGCAAACTGGGAGGATGTGGCTTGCGTTTGGAGGGATGCAAACTGGGAGGATGTGGCTTGCGTTTGGAGGGATGCAAACTGGGAGGATGTGGCTTGCGTTTGGAGGGATGCAAACTGGGAGGATGTGGCTTGCGTTTGGAGGGATGCAAACTGGGAGGATGTGGCTTGCGTTTGGAGGGATGCAAACTGGGAGGATGTGGCTTGCGTTTGGAGGGATGCAAACTGGGAGGATGTGGCTTGCGTTTGGAGGGATGCAAACTGGGAGGATGTGGCTTGCGTTTGGAGGGATGCAAACTGGGAGGATGTGGCTTGCGTTTGGAGGGATGCAAACTGGGAGGATGTGGCTTGCGTTTGGAGGGATGCAAACTGGGAGGATGTGGCTTGCGTTTGGAGGGATGCAAACTGGGAGGATGTGGCTTGCGTTTGGAGGGATGCAAACTGGGAGGATGTGGCTTGCGTTTGGAGGGATGCAAACTGGGAGGATGTGGCTTGCGTTTGGAGGGATGCAAACTGGGAGGATGTGGCTTGCGTTTGGAGGGATGCAAACTGGGAGGATGTGGCTTGCGTTTGGAGGGATGCAAACTGGGAGGATGTGGCTTGCGTTTGGAGGGATGCAAACTGGGAGGATGTGGCTTGCGTTTGGAGGGATGCAAACTGGGAGGATGTGGCTTGCGTTTGGAGGGATGCAAACTGGGAGGATGTGGCTTGCGTTTGGAGGGATGCAAACTGGGAGGATGTGGCTTGCGTTTGGAGGGATGCAAACTGGGAGGATGTGGCTTGCGTTTGGAGGGATGCAAACTGGGAGGATGTGGCTTGCGTTTGGAGGGATGCAAACTGGGAGGATGTGGCTTGCGTTTGGAGGGATGCAAACTGGGAGGATGTGGCTTGCGTTTGGAGGGATGCAAACTGGGAGGATGTGGCTTGCGTTTGGAGGGATGCAAACTGGGAGGATGTGGCTTGCGTTTGGAGGGATGCAAACTGGGAGGATGTGGCTTGCGTTTGGAGGGATGCAAACTGGGAGGATGTGGCTTGCGTTTGGAGGGATGCAAACTGGGAGGATGTGGCTTGCGTTTGGAGGGATGCAAACTGGGAGGATGTGGCTTGCGTTTGGAGGGATGCAAACTGGGAGGATGTGGCTTGCGTTTGGAGGGATGCAAACTGGGAGGATGTGGCTTGCGTTTGGAGGGATGCAAACTGGGAGGATGTGGCTTGCGTTTGGAGGGATGCAAACTGGGAGGATGTGGCTTGCGTTTGGAGGGATGCAAACTGGGAGGATGTGGCTTGCGTTTGGAGGGATGCAAACTGGGAGGATGTGGCTTGCGTTTGGAGGGATGCAAACTGGGAGGATGTGGCTTGCGTTTGGAGGGATGCAAACTGGGAGGATGTGGCTTGCGTTTGGAGGGATGCAAACTGGGAGGATGTGGCTTGCGTTTGGAGGGATGCAAACTGGGAGGATGTGGCTTGCGTTTGGAGGGATGCAAACTGGGAGGATGTGGCTTGCGTTTGGAGGGATGCAAACTGGGAGGATGTGGCTTGCGTTTGGAGGGATGCAAACTGGGAGGATGTGGCTTGCGTTTGGAGGGATGCAAACTGGGAGGATGTCGCTTGCGTTTGGAGGGATGCAAACTGGGAGGATGTGGCTTGCGTTTGGAGGGATGCAAACTGGGAGGATGTGGCTTGCGTTTGGAGGGATGCAAACTGGGAGGATGTGGCTTGCGTTTGGAGGGATGCAAACTGGGAGGATGTGGCTTGCGTTTGGAGGGATGCAAACTGGGAGGATGTGGCTTGCGTTTGGAGGGATGCAAACTGGGAGGATGTGGCTTGCGTTTGGAGGGATGCAAACTGGGAGGATGTGGCTTGCGTTTGGAGGGATGCAAACTGGGAGGATGTGGCTTGCGTTTGGAGGGATGCAAACTGGGAGGATGTGGCTTGCGTTTGGAGGGATGCAAACTGGGAGGATGTGGCTTGCGTTTGGAGGGATGCAAACTGAGAGGATGTGGCTTGCGTTTGGAGGGATGCAAACTGGGAGGATGTGGCTTGCGTTTGGAGGGATGCAAACTGGGAGGATGTGGCTTGCGTTTGGAGGGATGCAAACAGGGAGGATGTGGCTTGCGTTTGGAGGGATGCAAACTGGGAGGATGTGGCTTGCGTTTGGAGGGATGCAAACAGGGAGGATGTGGCTTGCGTTTGGAGGGATGCAAACTGGGAGGATGTGGCTTGCGTTTGGAGGGATGCAAACTGGGAGGATGTGGCTTGCGTTTGGAGGGATGCAAACTGGGAGGATGTGGCTTGCGTTTGGAGGGATGCAAACTGGGAGGATGTGGCTTGCGTTTGGAGGGATGCAAACTGGGAGGATGTGGCTTGCGTTTGGAGGGATGCAAACTGGGAGGATGTGGCTTGCGTTTGGAGGGATGCAAACTGGGAGGATGTCGCTTGCGTTTGGAGGGATGCAAACTGGGAGGATGTGGCTTGCGTTTGGAGGGATGCAAACTGGGAGGATGTGGCTTGCGTTTGGAGGGATGCAAACTGGGAGGATGTGGCTTGGCCTGCCCTACATTTTTTCACAAGTTAATGGGCAGATTCGTATTCTATTGTTGTCTAAGATAAATATATTATTCCAATTGCCCGAATCTCTTTTCTGCAGGCAAGTGTTCTGGGGTGGACTGTGGAATATATGGTTATTGCGATTTGAAGGAGAACGGGGATCCAACCTGCAAGTGCTTGCAGGGCGCCCAGCTGCTTCCAGACAAACTGTTTTGCGCCAGTGAGTTGCAGTGTGTTCGCTCGGAGGGTGCAATTTAGTTGCATGTTGACAACTTCACAGTTGAACTGCTATCAGGCATGTTCCGCCCTTATTCCCCTCATCTTTCAAGCATCATCACCGTTTCCCTCCCCCCTTTCCTTCCACCCCATTTTTCCGTGCACTCACATCAGACCCAGAATGCGACGTGTTGGGTTGCGAACCATATGGGCGTTGTGTGTACAAAAATGGAACACACTCTTGCCAATGGGGTAAGCATGGCCTTTCACCTTTCTCGACACCCAACCCAGCCCATCCGCACTTGTTCTAGACTACCTTTATCATTTGATGTAGCTGGCCAAATTGCTGCTGGCTCCACTCAACATCCATTTGCAGCTAATCCATTTGCCGTGCTCATTTCACCACATCTCCATCTTGCTGTGTGTCTCCCATGCTTGCTGTGTTGGTCAGATTCAGTTTGTGGCAAGTGCCCCATGAGAGCCGACTGCGTTAAGGTCTATACTACGACATATGAAGCGGCAGATGTGCCATACTGCAAGTGCCGTCGGGGCTATGGTCTGACCTCAAAAGGATGCGAACAGGGTGAGATTCAATAGCTCCTTTTATGCTTCCTCTCCGTTAACATGCTGCATTCTCCTGGCTCTGCGTTTGTTGAGGGCTGATGGGGTGGAGTAGCTGAGATCTTCTCAGCCTGAGGGCTTGATTATGTGAACATGCATCGTCCTTCCCGCTCTTTCCCTCCCTTGAGTGAACTTGAACATGTCAACCTCGTGCCTTCACCGTCCTTTCTTATCCCCACTTCAAAGCATCCTGGACCTTCCTGCTGATTCCATCCCTCCCATCCTTTCTCCACATTTCTCCTGCTGCTCTGCGGTCCTTTCTCAGGTTTACCTGACGAAGTGGCGGCCAGCAGTATGACACTTATCCGGGATGCTAAAGCCAGAGACAAGACTTCCAACCCCTACACCTTCCGCTTGAAATATGGGTGCACTCGATTTCCAGAGGAGGTGGCTGGGAATTTCTCGCTTCGGTACGAAGTGCACAACATTGGTGGTGCTCTGGGTTGTCGTCAGCTTCAGCTTTACTCAACGGATAACTGCACCTCAACCCCTGCGATGAGGCAAACGGTGTCCGATGCAACAATTTCTGCAATAGCAGCTCGGTGAGTGGACAGTCATAAATCATTTTTCATTGTGCATTTCGTACATCAGTCAATCTGGATCTTCACTTTGTCCTTCATAATCCCGTGTCAAAAATGCACTGCACTTTACAGTCCACCCTGTACCCAATACCATCCAAACAATTTATGTTTCCCCTGTCCCCTGTCCCCTGTCCCCCCTTTTTTTCTCTCTCACCATCAACCAGAGGCTCCCCGTTCTATAATCACCGCTCTGTCTGGTGTGGTAGCTGATTCTTTCTGCTGTCCGCTTCTTAATCCTGATCTACTCAACAATGGAAACATGTGCTGGACACCTTTGTACCATAATAATCTAATACCGCACTCCCCCGCGTAGTGCACCCTAGGCAGCAGCACCGCTGAATGATGGCGTGAGCTTGCGGGAGGGCAGAGGGAGGCCTGGAGGATTGCCCGGGTGAAGCGGGGTGGCAGGTGCATGGGGGATTGCATGTGCATGGGTTATTGCATGGGGCAAGGGGAATGCTTGGGCATGGGGGGTGGCATGGGATGGGAGTACAATACTATCAGCCTGTATCCATCAAAACGCATCAACTTTTACCTGAATAAACACTTGCACCTCACGTTACTTTCTGGTTCAACAGACTTTTACCCACTTACCGTATACCGACGATGTTTAATCCACCCCCACTCCACCTGCCATTTGGATTCAAGATACGGTAATGCCGTAAATGGCCGTTTAGATGGAGCACAGGGTCTAATCAGATATGATATTTCGTTTAATCGCCGGGTAAGAAATATATAGTTTTAAAAAATATGCTGTTTCCCTCCCCCCGTATACATGCGCCTTTGGGGTTATATGAAGACATTTATTATTCTTTTTTTTTTACACCAAACTGTAGACCTTGTCCTCCTGCCGATTGTTATCGAGTCTAAATTATCTAGGGTCAAGGATTTGAATTGTGTGCAGGTTGGGAGGGATTGATTCTCTCAGTTCAATGAGATCGTTGTTGTACCGCGGACGGGCCTCCAACCTCTATCCTCGTGTGTATACGCTGAAGTGGTAAGTGTAATGAATATACATTCATTACTGTAGAGGCTGCTCCTAGCGAGGACAGCCCGAGCACTTCGCGTCAGGATGGCTCGACCTACACTTTCGCACCGAACCAATTCCGAGTCGCCCCGCACCAATCGCGACATTTCCGAGCCACGCACACCTAGAGGTTCTTGCCTAGCTAGTTTCCGCCCTATAAATGCTCGTTTCCTTCATTGTTTCCTCATTCTGTAATCACAGTCTCTTTATAGAAGTCTTCCGCGCACTCTGTCTAGTACAACTTATAACACTTGGTATAAGAGCTACTTTCCTAGCTTCCCCGTTTTTTAGAGTGTATTACCCCTCGGGGGGGGGGACAGGGAAGGATGCCGTGGTGACAGGAGTAGCGCTAGAGCCGACCAGGAGAACGGGTAGTTGCTCCTAGCGGCCATGACTTTCAAGGCGCTCCTGCGGCACCGACGGATCCTTGCCCTCGACGGTCGAGATGGACCGTGGCCTCCCTCCCCCCGGGTGGCGGACAGCTTTTGCTGTCGTCGCATTTAATGCGTGAGTTAACTGTGCTGGTTTTCGTCAATTTCAGAGTTATTTATGTGTAGCGGCTGACGTCGGCAGGCTCGTCGTCGGCGCACGTCCGAAATTGTCGGAAGCAAGACGTGGTGCGAGTTGCGTCGGCACGTGGTCGTCAACTGCGCACGATGTTTTCGGAGTGGACTGCATGCAGCAAGTGACATCGGGCATCTTCGTCACGTTGCGCATGGGCCCGCTGGAGGTCTTCGGCAAGTGGCGCGTCGTCACTGTGCGCGAAGATTTCGGGTAGCAGCACGTGGAAAACGACTGTTGTGCGAGCAGCCAGGCGCAATGTGTGATTTGCGTCAGAAAAACCGACAGCGAGGAGAGGCGGCGTGGCGACTGCCCGAAGAAATCGGGGGTCACCGTCGTCCCGCCCGGGTGCGGCAGGTGTTGCTGCAGGAGGGTGCGTCGTGGGCGTTTTTCGGCAGGAGCGGCACAGTGTGGGACGGAAGTTATTTTCAAACCGCCGAAAAGATCGGAAAAGGCCGCCTACGACTAGACTGTTTGCGTTAGGGCCACTTCTGTGCCTGCATCAAGATCGGTGAAATTTTCGGAGCAACAACAGCAGCCGACACTGTACTTCAGGCGACACAGGTTCCCCCTGATCAAGGGAAGTTGCGCCGCAGACAGGGCAGTACACCGACGGGACAACGGTTTGGCACAGCGTCTAGACTCGCGAATTTCGCCTAGTCTACCGGCTACAATAAACAGAGTTGCGACAAATACGGGTCTGGCGAGAGAAACGGATTCCGAGCTTCAGGAGGGGAGAAAACGACCTACTGCGACGACTTTTTGCTGAGGCCGAGTTTCGCGGCTAAGCGGCGGTAGCAGAAGGAGCTCCCTACCGGCCAAAGTCTACCGACGTTTCGCATACCTCACACCAGGTTGCCTCGAAGGCAATAAGTAAGTCCTGTTGGCACCTGGACGAAAAAGGTGGGGCATTGTATTTTAGCCCTGTGCTGGTTAGAAAGGCGTGGGTGGCGCTGGTTCGACAGCAGGGCGTTCAAGAAATTTCAAGGATGCGACACTGTTTCGGCCCCGACAAAAACGGACCATCGGCAACAGTACTCCGCCGAAAATGTCGGAGTTGAGGAAGTTGTGGCAGCTGGCGGTGTTTCTCCGAATTCAACGGTCTACCCGACAACGGTGTAGCAGCGAAGACGGAGTTCCGGGAGCTGCGGAGTTTTAAAATGCGATAGGCACGGTGGGCAGCGAAGCGGCCGGCTGAGAGTCTGATATGATAAACTCGCTCCGACTACGATAGCGTTCGCGCCTTCATCGAACGCCAGAAAAATCGCGGGTCAACACGGAGAATACCTCATCCGACAAAAGCGGACGCTGGGTGAACGGTGGCAAGCGAAATTGTCGGGGGGTGAAAGCAAAAAAAAAAAGGAGGGAAAGTTGTGGGTGCCGTTTCAAGCTACTTGAGTGATGGGCGGAGCCCGTACACCACTCCACCGCGAATTTCGGAGTCTATTCGGTAGACCCCCGAAAGGGTTTGATATCGTGACATGGAGGCACGGCGAGGGGTGTATTGCCAAGGATGCCTGGGATTTGCTAAGTAATCTCGACGGGTACGAAGATGGGTGAACGTCGGAGTACCAGGGTTAATGGCGGAAACGTCGGGGCTACAAGGCAGAAAATACTTCGGGGCTTGATTCCTCAACCATGATTTTCGGGTGCAATTTCGATGGTGGGAGACGGGTGAACGTCTGCTCGCCAGTTGTTTAAGCGTTTTACAGTGTACTTCGAAGCACTCTGGGGAGGTTCTATCGCGAGATCTGCGGCGTTGATGCGCGCTAGGGTCCGTGAAAATCGGTCTCGGAAGACCCATAAGTACTGGGTTCCACGCCGAAAAAGCACCTCATGTTGGTGGGTCGCTTGGGTGGTTAACCGCACGAACAAAATGGTGACCGGGTGGGCGTGCTAGAAACACCGGTTCTTTCGGAGGACAACCTGCGGGCGACCTATATTTTCGGGGTCTCTTAATTTCCGACATTTGCGACGGGTTGGCGACAAAAGTATCTCTCTGAAAAGGCGCGAACGGCTGTGGCGAATTGCTACATCTCGCCTATGATCGCTTTTCAGGCGCAGGTGTATCCTCCTCCGAAAGAGATTTGGGACGAGACGGAGAGGCTTCTGCACAACTTCGTGTCCGGGAACAAAGCAACCCCAGCAAAAGACTTCGTGCTGTGGAGTAAGGAGCTGCTTTACACGCCGCGGAAGGGGGGGGGACTTGGAGTGCAAGATCCCAACATCTTGCTGGCGTGTCTGTCGGCCAGGAGAGTGGGGCTGCTGATGACAGAACCTGATGAGCTCAAACGGGAGCTGATGGTGAAGGCAGCTGACCTCCCGTTGGGACTGGACACCTTTATATCGCACGACAAGCTCCTGAAGAACTGGGAAGGGAGGAGTCAGCGTTGGAAACAAACGTGTGAAGCTTTCATGAAGTCGCCTCTTAGTGAACGGACGGTGCCGTTAACAAGGGAGGCAGTGGGGCAAGAGAGGCTGGTTTTCAACAAGAAAATTCTAGTCGGAGTGGTGGCGCCGGTGGGTGGACAGAAACACGCGAAGGCGCTGTGGAAGACCAGACTGGGTGACCTGGTGAAACAGTTACCTGACGGAAGCTGGGCGAAAAAATCCATGGAGGAGCTGACGGAGGAGCTGGGAGACAAAGGACCGGCTAAGCTAGCGTTGAAAGCTCTCGAGATGGCTCCAGCAGAATGGAAGGGGGTTCTGCTGACCCCTGGTGAGTGCTCGGCTGGCTCAGAACCCGCAGCTGCGCAAAAGCTTCCGCAAGTGCCCCTGCTCGAGAACGGGAAGGTGATCCCCCTCGCAAAGATGAAGGGTTTCTGGAAAGGGGAAAGGCTTCAGTCGCACAGAAGGCTGAAGTGGGCGGAAAGGTGGCGGGGGCGTATTAACTGGGACAGAGCGACGGGCATCAGGGAGTCCCTTGTCACGCCAAGCAGACCGAGAGACATGCTTACCCGAATCCACAATTTTAACCTTCAGGTCGGGGAAAGGTTGGCGTTTCTCAGCAGCAAACCCGTGTGTCCGCACTGTTCCGAGGAGGAGACACTGGAACACTGCCTTTATGCCTGCCCCAAAATCCAGACGGTGGTTACGGCTCTGAAGCGGGCGTTACGGATGATCAACCCTTATCGCACAGTGTCCAGTCTGGGGGACTTGCTGTTCCGGAAGGCAGGATCCAGCTCAGCTTTCCCGGAAGCGACACTGATTGCCATCTCGCTGCATCAGCTCTGGTTGGAGAGGTGTGACGTGGTTTTCTGCGGAAAGAAGTTCAGAACGCGCCGAGTGCTGAGGCGGATTATCTTCGCGTTCAGACTGCATGTGAGAATTTACATCAAGGCAAGGGACGTGACGTGTCGGAAAAGGAAGAGAGCTGGCCATAAAGACAAACTGCAACGGTGGATGGCGGAGGAACAGAAACTGCTGGATCGGATTAAGACAACTGGAGATAAGAAGCTGACGTGGGTCAGGTTCTTTGAGGCAATTTGGACCAACCCCCGCATGATTTATCATCCCCCTTAGAGGCTCATCTAGGGCAGTCGGTCCTGCCCCTCATGCGCAGTTACGACTGTCTTTGAATGCATGCACTTGCTTCATCGGTGTATGCTTTCAATAACAAAAA